GCACCCCAAAACAGCCCCCCGGGACCCCCGTCAGCCACTGAGCCCCAAAACGGGGGGGAAACCACCAGCTGCGGGGTTGGACCCCAACACCGGGTGGCCCCCCCCCCCCCCCCCAACTTTTGTGGGCAAACCCCCAACCGGGGCTGTGAACCCCAAACCAGCCCCCTGCCCCCCAATTCCAATTCCCCCCCCCCTCCCCAGTTCATTACCTGAGCCCCCAAATTGCTCAATTCACCCCCAAACTCCTCCCCTTTCCCTGCAACATCTTTGGGGCCCCCCCAGGGTAGCTTAGGAGCAAATTTGGGAGCAATTCTGGGAGCAAGTTTAGGAGAATTTGGGGGATCTCCTGGGTGTTGGGGAGAACCCCAATAGTTTTGGGGTGAGAAGAGCCACTTTTGGGGCAGTGCGGGGGAGTGAAAGGGGGCCCACAGGGTTTTGGGGTGAATCCCAAGGGTTTGGGGTCACTCACCAGCTTTGGGGACTCCGCACTTGAAGCATTTCTCACGTCGCTTGAAGTTCTGCACCCCACACTGAGACCCCACAAATCCGTCACACCCAGAGCCCCCCGGCCCCCCAAACCTGCCCAGAGACCTCCCAGCTGCACCACCCCAAAACAATCCCACTCTGAAACCCCCCTGGACCCCCTCAGACACCCCCCCAAGATTCCCCAGGACCCCCCAGTCTCCCCCCTTGGACCCTCTGAACCCCTTCAAAGCCCCGCACAGCCCCCACCAACCCCTTTGCACCCTCCCCAGAACCCCCCAAGCCCCCCCCCCGTTCCTCCCAGGACCCCCAGAAATCCCTTCAAGAACCCCCAGGACCCCCCAAATTCCCCCCTCAGGACACCCCCCCGGCTCTCCCACCTTGGCACAGAGCCAGTCCTCGTTGATCTTGGGTTTGGGGTCGCTGTAGTGCAGGGACACGCGGTGCCCCAGCAGGGTCAGCCCGGCCTGGGGGGCACAGGGGGGGCAGGGGGGGTACAAGGGAGGTCAGGGGTGGCACAGGTCAGTCAGAGGGAGCACAGAGCGGGTCGGGGGGGGCACAGGGACACAGAGTGACCCAGGATGGTCGGCCTGGCCTGGGGGGGACACACGGGGCAGGCACCGCGGCTCGAAGGAGGGGGGCACCAGGACTTGTGTTGGGGGACACCAGAGGGGGCACCAGGACTTCTTCTGGGGGGCATCAGAGCTCATGGTGGGGGTGTCCCAGTGAGAGCAGTTCATCACTGTGTGGGTGTAACCCAAACTCGGGATTTTACACTCTCTACGTCATTTCCCAGGAACTGGGAACAAGAGCCCATCTGCAGCAGCTGCCCAGAGCACACCTGAGCCCATAGGCCATGAGCTGGGGGTCAGGGAGCCTGGGAGACAGGAGGATGTTCCTGTCCTCACACCCAGGACTCAGGTGGGATAACTCCCCTCCAGGGAGTCACCAGCACCTCCACACCCAGCCTGAGGGGTCACCTCTGCTCGTGGGCCACCAAGGATCCCAAAAGTATCTCACAGCTCACAGTCACCCACTGTGGAACTCCCCGCCCCGGGGGAGGTGCTGGGCATTCCCACTCCCACCTCAGGGCAGAGAATCTTGGGGTCTTGGCACTTCTGGGCCCACTCGTGGATCCAGAGGAGGACCAGAACCTCGACCAGGCTGTGACCACCACCCTCGACCAGACTGTGACCAGCTCCCTCAAACAGACTGTGAGCAGCACTCCCACCAACAGCTTTTCCCTCCCCTTTTACTCTGGACTCAGAGGGACCACGTGGGGCTCAGCATGGGGCCAACCAACACCCCTCTGTTCGTGCCCCAGCTGCTGGGTTACACAGCTGGGCTTTGGGGCTTAAAACCAATTGCTTGTCCGTATAATTGTATTTATTGTATTATTGTTATTAAATTGTAACTGACTTGCACTCTTTTTTGAGTTTGCTTCATTTTTCCTGCCAGCTTCCCTATAAACCAGCACAGGGGGGCACCCAGACTTGAATCAAGGAGTACCAGGGCTCAGTGGTGGCACGAGGTCACACAGCCCTCACACCGGGAGCACTGGGAGCACTGGGGGCACCGGGGGGCACGAGGGGGTACCGGGGCTCCCCTGGGGCTCTCCCCAGGGCCCCCAGCCTCGCCCAAGGCCTCACACAGAGATCTGCCCCAGGATTTGCCCCAGAGAACACAGGGACCTGCACCAGCACAGGGCTGCACCAGAGCCCACACAGGGGAACCAGGGCTCCCACCACAAGGGCACGAGGCCTCCCACTGTCCCTCAGAACAGCCCACACACGAAAGGGCACGAGGCTCCACACCAGGGCTGGCACCAGCGGGCACAGCTCCCGCCCCAGGGCTGGCACCAGGCCCCCACCCAGGAGCCAGCAAGGAGGGACACACCAGGGACCACCAGAACACACCAGGGACCACCAGAACACACCAGGGCTGGCACCACCAGCACAAAGGCCCGCCCAGGGCTCACAGCTGCCCTCACACCACAGCCCCCCAGAGCACCCCAAGGCTCGCCCAGAGCACCCCAGGGCTGGCACAAAGCTGCCCGAGGGCTGGCACGGGGGGCATGAGGAGCTCAGCATTTGCACGAGGGTCTCACAAGCATCATCCTGCGCTGCAGCGCGCGGGGGGCACCCGAGGGGGACACCCCAGGAGCTCGGCCCTCGCAAAAGGACCTCAGTCCATACCCAGGGACACCCCAGGGTGTCACCCAGACATCAGTTCCCACACAGACCCACCACAGTCTGTCACACAGAGCACTCAGGGGCACCCCAGGGGCTCGCACGAGGGACTCAGTTCCCACACAGGGGCACCCCAGGGTGTCACTCAGGGACTCAGATCCCACACAGGGGCACCCCAGGG